CCATATTTATCCAATGGGGCTGAATTTTGGATATGTTATAGTACACACCAATTGGAACAACTTTCATGAAGAATGTGGCCTCATTCGAGCTATGTAGGTTGTTGAAACAAAGCTTGCAATATGACCTACGGAACTGGACTGGCAGGGGGCTGTAGCCAAAATGAGTTTGTCTTTTAAGCTCTTCATCCATTCATCCAAATTAGGCCTTAACATGCTTGAATTGCATGAATTATGCTCTCTTGCTCTATTTGCCTACAAAACACACAAAGGGAGGCAAATAACTTAGAAATCTAAGAAACTAAGCAAAAGAAGTAAGTAAATAGGGCATGTATATGTATGAAATTATGAGCTTAACAGAGACTTCGAGTCATTGTGGCAATATCGCAATGCTTGCGCTCGGCAAGGCCATTTTGTTGTGGTGTATGGGGGCAAGAAAATCTCTGTTGAATTCCCAAGGATTTACAATAATGAGAAAATGCATTATTAACATATTCAGTCCCATTGTCGCTTTGAAGAAATTGAATGGCATGGTGAAACATATTTTGAATCATGGCAACTAAAGTTTGAAAATGAGTTAGGACTTCATTTTTGCGACGCATGGGGTAAATCCAAGTGTAGCGTGAGAATTCATCTGTGAATAGAACATAATATTTGAAACCACTAACAGAAATAGTAGATGAGGACCAAACATCACTATGGATAATGTGAAAATGAGTACTACCAGTCTCTTTATTGGAATTAAAAGGTAATTGGTGAGACTTGCTGAGTGCACAGTCTCGACAAAAAGAATGCAAAGACAATTTGGACTTAATTGTAGAACCTAGATGTGCTAAGACATTTGACGACGGATGACCCAAACGATTGTGCCAGATGGAGGAGTGGAGAAGCTTGACAGATTGAGCGGATATAGACCATCTTTACAAGGGCCCTGAAACAATAGATGACCAGTACGTAAGCAATATATTTGATAGAAGTCAGGTGCAAAAAGAAAGAAAACATGATTGTCTTTAGTGAAACGAGCAACAGATAGAAGATTTTTACGAATGGACGGAATACGAAAGACATTTTGTAAAGTGAAGTTGGAAGAGCCTAATGAAAAGGGAAGGTTACCAGTATGGGAAACGGGCATTGAGTCCCCATTACCCATATATACATTATGCGGCCCACCATAAGGTTGAGGATTGTTGATGGGCATGGCTGTCATGTGATGGGTTGCACCTGTGTCCGGGTACCAATTTGGATCAGCAGCATAATGTACTCCAGCAAACGGAGCAGCAATATTTGGGCCGAAAAATCTATGTGGACATTGAGCGAGCCCATGTTGACTTGAGTGACAGTTGGGACACATTGGGGTGCTGGGCCAAGAAGACCATTTGGTGGGGGACGAGCAGCCCAAACAGGTGAAGTAAACGGCCCAAATGGAGGCACATGTTGTTGTTGCATAGGAAAAGGAGACGCAACCTGTGACTGTGAAAGGGCTTGCTGCTGGGAATTACGACCACGTCTGAAGCGGCCATTGTTAGGACGACCACTGATGGGAAATTGGTGGCCGGTATTGGGGCAGTTATCACGACGGGTAGAAGAGGCTTGGCTATGATTGAAGAGAGCGGTGGCTGTAGGGGAATCAGCAGGACGAGATTGCTGGGCATTAAAAGAGAGAATTCGAGCCCGAAGTTCAGTGAAATTAGGGAGCGGAGGATTTCGCGTGAGGGCGGTGCGAAGCATGAGGTAATCGGGGCCAAGACCACGAAGAGTGGGGATGACCAAGTCCTCGTCAGGAACAGGCTTGTTAATGGAGATCAAAGCATCAGCAATTGATTTAGCATGACGGAGGTATGCGTCAACAGATTGAGTGCCTTTGTTGAGATCTAGAAGTTGCATTTTGAGATTGGTTTCACTAGCTACGGACTTCTGGGAAAAATGACGTTCAAGGCAGTCCCCAATTGCCTTTGAAGTGTCGAAACCAATGGTAAGCTGTGCGGTGTTTTCTGTTAGAGTGGTGGTGAGAATGCTAGCGATTTGTTGGTCGACGGTGAATCATGTATCATGGTCGGGATTAGGGATGGATTATGCTATACTGGTTGAGTGTCGGTCGCAGTAGTCATGGAGGTGAGAGATGGTTCAGGAATGGTGCCATCAACATATCCCCTAAGTTTGGCACTATGAAGGTAAGGTTTGATTTGCCGAAGCCAAGTGAGATAATTGGTTTCAGTGAGTTTGGTGAATTGAGCAGTATTTTGGGAGGGAGTAGTTGAGGAAGGGGTGGTGGCCATTGGAAGGAGAAGAGAAAAAGGGACGACAAAGGAAGAGAGACAGGTGAGGATCCTAGGTTTAGGCTAATACCATGTAGAAAATGATTTTCGTTAATTCAAAATGTTTACAATGTATAGATATATAGGAGATTTGTTTGACTGTTACAAGAAATTATAAACAGCACTAAAGACTATAATTAGAAAGAATCAAAATTGATCTTTAGTTACACAATCAGTTTTGATTGAGAAGAGGAAATCTCTCTGATCTTCAGTTACACAATCAGTTTTGATTGCGAAGAGGAAATCTCTCTAACAAATACAATAAAAATCCTATTACAAAATTGTGGGAAGCCAAAAGAAATACTCAAAATGTATATATTAACACAAGGAATCAACCCCAACTGAAAAGAGCAAAGAAAACCCCCAAATTGAATCTCTCTGTCAATCTGAACCAACTGATATGAAAATCATTGCCATGTGATTTCTCTAACTCCAATAGCTCTAAGGAAGAAAACAATTTCTTCTTCAATGAAAAAAAAAAGAGGAAGGGAAGGGAGAGTAAGTGACAGAGAGCAAAACCCAAAAACGAAAGAAAAAACCGAGAGAGAAGATGTGATCTTTTTTGGTCAATGAGAGAGATAGTCGATTTGAAGGAAGTAAAGAAAAAGTTTAAGTAAAAAAAATATATTAAAGTTTAGTACTGGCAAACCAACTCGTCAGTGACAACATTTGGCTTCCTGATGTCTACAAATTTGGGCGCTTAATATTTTGGCTTCCTGCCCTTGAAGGGGCTGGCGCTGTTATGAAATGTTTCTTTGGTTTAATGTAGATTTTTCAAATATAGCAATCCATTATTTGGTTTGGCGACTGTGGATAGAGAAGGGTACGAAAGTTTGCAGTCCAAAAGAAAATAAATAAATAAATAAATAAATAAATTTTATGTTAATTTTGATGTATTTTTATTTTAAGTCGTCAGATTATTTTAAGAGTCAAGATGAAGTGAAATGCGGATAAATACGTGTACTCTAAATGCAGAGACTCATGATCCTAAATGGAGTATTCAGAACTCAGCAAGTAGTGGCACTAATACCATGCCTACTATACTTGACAGGCTAGTACGAGATTGAGAACTCAGTAAGGTAGTGGCTGATCTATTTAGGCTTGATTTCAACCTTTTGAGTTAATTCGCTTCTGGCTTCTCAAAGGTGTTCATACAAATTGCAATTTCAATATATAAAATTCCAGCAAAATAAATCAAGATAAAAGGCCAAGCTTGCTAGCAAAATAAATCAATATATAAGAGTCTTATGATGATGTTTAGCATAACACATCATATACATGTCTTCATCTCCTCAAAATAACTAAGTCAAGAACTGCACCTGATCCTCTAATTCCTCTGCACATTGTCTAAAAAGCAAAGTTAAAATAAATAATCACTAAATAAGTACATTAAAACAAATAAACAAGGTAATAATAGGTCCTCAACATCACCTAATTCACAAATCAAACATAGAAGTTTCAATCAAGAGAGGTTATGTCTGATTCTATTATTGGAGTTGATCCCACCTCTATATGAAAGGAAAAAGTTTAATTAATTAACTTTATAATAAGATTGAGAAAACCAATATAATATAGATGGCATACCTGACTCGACTTCTTCATAAAATTCCATCTCTTCAACAAGAAAAGATCGCAGCCAATTCTGCCCACAAATACGTGCCTCAACCATCTTAGGAGTTAAGGAACTCCTGAAATGATCTATAATGGTTTAGTTCCGGGTTTAAGCTTTATATATTTTTCATTTATATTTTATTTTGCTAGTCAAGGAGAGTAACTAATAACTAAATAAAAATGTTAAATTTGAAGTTTATTGAACTTTGAAATTTCATGGCATATTGAACTTACGGTTTTATGTGTTGGAAAATGAAAAAATATTTAGGAGTTTTTGCAATTGGGCTAATACAAAAAACGAATCACGGTTAGGCTGAAACTGCCTGAACCCAATAGTGGTTTAGTTCCGTTTGATTTTCTTCATGATTTTTGTTAAAACCTAACTGAACATAAAGTGATAATCTATACTATTAATTAAGAGAGAAAAATGCCCTATTGCTTAACTCCTTACTAGTGAGGAGGAGCTCCTCCTCACACCAAATCAAATTACACATGAAAAACAGTTAAAGGAGCTGACAAATGTCGAAGTTCCATTGTTGTGCTTAGGAGGTTTTGCAATTGGGCTAATACATAAAACGAATCACGGTTAGGCTGAAACTGCCTGAACCCAATAGTGGTTTAGTTCCGTTTGATTTTCTTCATGATTTTTGTTAAAACCTAACTGAACATAAAGTGATAATCTATACTATTAATTAAGAGAGAAAAATGCCCTATTGCTTAACTCCTTACTAGTGAGGAGGAGCTCCTCCTCACACCAAATCAAATTACACATGAAAAACAGTTAAAGGAGCTGACAAATGTCGAAGTTCCATTGTTGTGCGGAGGAGCTCCTCCTCAATTTTAAAGAGCCAAACAAATATTTAAATTACACTCAATAAAATGAAGGTAATATAGTACGAGCAACATAGTAATTAACAACTACTACATAAATAAATAAAATACTCTCATATTTTTCCCCCACTAATCCATCTTGCCTTTCTTCTCGACTTTCCAAGCAATAACTCTCACATGCATACCATAACATGTGCCAAAATACTAGTAAAAAGGTAAACAAAAGCAATTACAATTAAAGTTAAATTGCTCTCAATCTATGTATTTCCAATTTTTATACCCAACAAGTCGTGTCACGACCAGTCATGTATACATTCTCTTCTTAGGAGAAAAGATCAAGTGAATCCGTAAGCTCGCTTTGCAGAGTCAAGGGTGTTGGAGAGGAGCATTGAGATTACAACAGGTCCAACTCCTCCTGGCACAGGAGTTATGGCTGACACCACCTTAATTGCCTCTTCGTAGCAAACATCTCCGGTGGTACGGAATCCTCGGGGACTATTGGGATCCTGCATATTATGACACATCCATCATGAGCAAGCAAGCCCAAGAATTCAAACCAAATTCGCAGACAAGTTTATATCCTAGTGAAATATCACTGTATTTCTTTATTGGCATTGAAAAACACATGTTTACAAATTTGACACGAGATGTGGCGATGAAAATTGATTTTCCTTGATGGCTTCTGTACTTGTGATATAACATTGAAGATTCCATGTAATGCATTGTTTTTCTTGGTACTTACCATGCAATACAATATCAGTCCATATGCCAAAACAAATTGGTGCTGCACATTGAGAGAACAAGATCAATGCCCTCATTGAGAAATGGCTTTCTCATTGAGCACATTGCAGTCCAGTTTGTCTATTAATAATGGGAAGCGAACATGGATTACCATTTACCCTCTGCTATTTAAAATCCTTGACATAACATACTTGATGTTGTATTAGTTGATTCAAAACAGCAAGAACCATCGTCGCTTCTAGCTCTAAACTGTAAAGTTTAGGGTTAGGGGTTGATGTGAAACTGAGGAGTCCAATTAAGGTTTGGCTTGATGAAAGAATTTGGGGGTAAATTAGGGATCTATGACAGGTGAACCAGATCTACTAAGAATGAGAAATTCAATTGGATATCAGGCAATTCAGAGGGCAAGTAGGACAAAGAAATGAAGGCAACTGAGAAAAATAAGCAAGACGGGAAAGACACAACAAATGCATACACTTGTGCATTGTAGTCTTTATCAACATTCAGACTAACACCTCTATTCATTTACTACAACTAGCCTAATTTTACATCAAAATTCATTTACTACAAAGAACAAGAGATCACAAGCTTATTTGTAGACTTTGGCTGGATAATAATAAATCCTTGTCCTTAAATCAAACTAGTCATGACCATCCATTAAAACCCTATCAAAAACACAAAGACCCAGAATACACTTACTAATAGTAATATACTCCTATGGCCTGCAAAGTCACTTTGTTTTAATGACACTGTCATTTCCCCATATGAAAATAAAAATAACAAGCACTTTTACAATTTATCAAAGACAACCACTGAAGGAACAGCACTCTTGTCAGTTAGAGGTCTAGGGCCTATGTAAAGGATAAATTTTCTCAAACCAAGTTATGGCCGCAGTTTTCTATACTACTCATGCGGTTCTGGTTGATTTACATATTAATAGATGTTCAACAATACAGTAACTAGTGACAGTTAGGTAATATAGTAATAGTGACAACTAATGGTTAGAAGGTAAGGCATAATTAAGGATATAGTCCTAGCTCCAACCCCTAATGCAATGATACAACTAAAGAACTTATATGAAACTTCATCTAAATAGGTGGATGAGTAAACTCTTACACTCTTTGGAATTTAGACTTGCTTTAGAGATTAATGTCTACTCTAGATGGATATTGATTCAGTCCACCATCAGGCCTTCAAAAGTACTTTTCTACATTTAATGAAACAATAAATATCATTATGGTCTAATACAGCCATGACTCATGTGAGGCTGAAGCAGTTGAGTCTTCCTTTATGACCACACATGAGTAAAGAAGGTAAAATCTGATAGATACAAATTCTTATGGTCATACAAAACTAGTTTCTCTAGCAAAATTCTATTTTAAAAATGCATTTTGCAGGAGGGGATTTTGAAGTAATATATACTTTCAATGTTAAAAAATATTTGGGATACTTTTTCCAATGCACCCTCCAACATGGGTGCATCGAGTATTTTATGGTAATCGCAACCAGAAATGACTGCTTTCTTGGCAGATGAACAGTAGTTTGTTCCTCTGTTATTGCACTTAAATGGTCAGGAAAACTGACCAAACTTCACAACAACCTAAGAAAGAAATGTTTATGACTATGCACAGATATAATCCTCATTAGATCTGAAAGTTAGATAGAAACAAGATAATTTACCTTAACTGAATTTGTCCCCATGTCGACTACAACTGCCCCTGGCATCAGCCAATCGCATCTGACTATATTTGGAATGCCAACATCTGATACAACAATATCAGCTCGACGAATAATTTGTTCTGGGTTGTTGGTGAACGAATGGAGAGTGCTAACCGTCGCGTGGTGCCTCTGTCCAGGACTAATGGAGCATCATTGAAAAATTATTCAAACATTCTGATGTCTACACAGTAGGGAACAAAAATATGTGTCACCTGCAAGAGCAAAGAAGTGGATAACCCAGCAATCTTGCTTCTCCCTATTACCACTGCATTCTTCCCAATGATCTCCACACGATACCTGAGCAACAACTCAATGCAAGCCTTAGGGGCACAAGGGATGAATAACGGCTCCCTTCCCCGCAATGCAAGATTCCCCATATTGAGGGGATGAAAGCCATCCACATCTTTTTCCGGACTCACGAAATTTATAATCGTTTCCTCATCCAAATGCTGAATCAGACAAGTTAACATACGATATTTTTAGAAACCCAAAAGGCCAAAACCAAATCACATGACTAGAACTAGAAGAAATTAAGAATACAAAACCCAATTTGAAGCAATAATTCTAAATTAACTCCAAGGAGTTGGTACCTCTGGCAGAGGAAGTTGAACAATTATACCGTGCACAGATGGGTTGCTGTTAAAACTTGAAACAACATCAATAAGTCGATCTTGAGTACAATCTTGGGGCAGTTGTACAATGGAAGTTTCAATCCCAACTTCATTACAAGCTTTTAACTTGATATGGACATAAGCGTGTGAGTCCTCTCTGTAGCCCACCAAAACCATAGCCAACCCAGGAAGTCTTCCAATGGCAGCTTTCATTCTGCTTATTTCAGCAGCTACTCTCAATTTTATGTCTTTTGCAATTGGCTTTCCGCTCATTATTTCAGCAGCACTCCGAGTCTGCCCTGTAGCTCCTGTTTTCACAGCTTTACGTACAACAACAATCAACAACCACTCATTCAATCATTCAGTCATTCAATCATTCAATCATTCAATCAATCAATCAATCAAGCTAAAACAGAGAGACCCATGATTTTCTATGAGCTGAAGAACATAAATGTGGTATAGAAATGCACTTACGGTGAAACCCAGATGAGAGGGGGCGATTGGGGGTTTGGGTGGGAACCCAAATGTGGGGGAGAGTGAGAGGGCTTGAAAATGGCGGTGAGAGCGTCGCTGAGTATAAGGCTTTCCCTTTGGTCCCCAATCTGTGCCAGAAACCCACCATAATGCCACTACCTCCTATACTCGATCTGCATACTCTCCCTCTTCTTCATATTCTCGATTATCAATATATACAGACAAAATAAAAGCTTGTTTTATTTATTGATCAAGTGGGAATTTGTACACAGAATTTCGGATATTATGAAAATGTGAGTTTCTTCTGTTAATGCCTTAAAAATGGAACTTTCATAAATCTTTTATTTTTTTGGATAAAATAAACTTTCATAATTCAAAAAGATATGGTTAGCTAATAAAAATATTAAGAAATGAAACCTAATACAGGGAGTCCATCTATCATACAAATCTAGTTTCTCTAGCAAAATTCTATTTTTAAAATGCATTTTGCAGGAGGGGATTTTGAAGTAACATATACTTTCAATGTTCTGTTTTGGGCAAAAGATATAGAATAAAAAGATTTGGGATACTTTTTTCCAATGCACCCTCCAACGCGGGTGCATTGAGTATTTTTTGGTAATCGCAAACAGAAATGACTGCTTTCTTGGCAGATGAACAGTAGTTTGTTCCTTTGTTATTGCACTTAAATGGACAGGAAAACTGACCAAACTTCACAACAACCTAAGAAAGAAACGTTTATGACTGTGCACAGATATAATCCCCATTAGATCTGAAAGTTAGATAGAAACAAGATAATTTACCTTAACTGAATTTGTCCCCATGTCGACTACAACTGCCCCTGGCATCAGCCAATCGCATCTGACTATATTTGGAATGCCAACATCTGACACAATAATATCAGCTCGACGAGTAATTTGTTCTGGGTTGTTGGTGAACGAATGGAGAGTGCTAACCGTCGCGTGGTGCCTCTGTCCAGGACTAATGGAGCATCATTGAAAAATTATTCAAACATTCTGATGTCTATACAGTAGAGAACAAAAATATGTGTCACCTGCAAGAGCAAAGAAGTGGATAACCCAGCAATCTTGCTTCTCCCTATTACCACTGCATTCTTCCCAATGATCTCCACGCGATACCTGAGCAACAACTCAATGCAAGCCTTAGGGGCACAAGGGATGAATAACGGCTCCCTTCCCCGCAATGCAAGATTCCCCATATTGAGGGGATGAAAGCCATCCACATCTTTTTCCGGACTCACGAAATTTATAATCGTTTCCTCATCCAAATGCTGAATCAAACAAGTTAATGTACAATATTTTTAGAAACCCAAAAGGCCAAAACCAAATCACATGACTAGAACTAGAAGAAATTAAGAATACAAAACCCAATTTGAAGCAATAATTCTAAATTAACTCCAAGGAGTTGGTACCTCTGGCAGAGGAAGTTGAACAATTATACCGTGCACAGATGGGTTGCTGTTAAAACTTGAAACAACATCAATAAGTCGATCTTGAGTACAATCTTGGGGCAGTTGTACAATGGAAGTTTCAATCCCAACTTCATTACAAGCTTTTAACTTGATATGGACATAAGCGTGTGAGTCCTCTCTGTAGCCCACCAAAACCATAGCCAACCCAGGAAGTCTTCCAATGGCAGCTTTCATTCTGCTTATTTCAGCAGCTACTCTCAATTTTATGTCTTTTGCAATTGGCTTTCCGCTCATTATTTCAGCAGCACTCCGAGTCTGCCCTGTAGCTCCTGTTTTCACAGCTTTACGTACAACAACAATCAACAACCACTCATTCAATCATTCAGTCATTCAATCATTCAATCATTCAATCAATCAATCAATCAAGCTAAAACAGAGAGACCCATGATTTTCTATGAGCTGAAGAACATAAATGTGGTATAGAAATGCACTTACGGTGAAACCCAGATGAGAGGGGGCGATTGGGGGTTTGGGTGGGAACCCAAATGTGGGGGAGAGTGAGAGGGCTTGAAAATGGCGGTGAGAGCGTCGCTGAGTATAAGGCTTTCCCTTTGGTCCCCAATCTGTGCCAGAAACCCACCATAATGCCACTACCTCCTATACTCGATCTTCATACTCTCCCTCTTCTTCATATTCTCGATTATCAATATATACAGACAAAATAAAAGCTTGTTTTATTTATTGATCAGGTGGGAATTTGTACACAGAATTTCGGATATTATGAAAATGTGAGTTTCTTCTGTTAGTGCCTTAAAAATGGAACTTTCATAAATCTTTTATTTTTTTGGATAAAATAAACTTTCATAATTCAAAAAGATATGGTTAGCTAATAAAAATATTAAGAAATGAAACCTAATACAGGGAGTCCATCTTTGCATTTGTTTTATCAGAAAAAGAAACCATTTGTCAAATGAGAATAAATATATTAACAGCTTTTTATATTACAATGTATAAATAAATAAATAAAAGCTTTTATTTTCATGGGAAGCAAGCATATCAAGTTTTCCCTTTCATAATACTATGAAAATCATGTTTGGTAAAAGGGGGACTAAATTAAAGGGGATTGTATAGTACAACAGTAAACAAAAAGCCTCACTTGCTCTTCCAATTTAGCGAACCTCAAACACGGTTCGCAAAATAGCAATTTCGCTAAATAGAGAACGCGAGTCCGACAATAACCAGCTTCTTCTTCTTCACCTAGAACTGTAACCACCATAGACCCAGCCAAACCACCAGAATCACCACAGACCATCGTCAAACCCAGTCACTCGAACCAACCACCACCAATTCAAACCCAGTCACTCGAATCAACCACCACCAATTCAAACCCAATGGAACCACAACCCAATTAAACCCAAATTCAACAAACACTATCAAACCCAATTGAACCTTCCAAGAAATCATCCACCATGATCAGGACAACTGCAAAGGGAGACACCATTAACAGAGATGTGGGCTTTCTTATATGAGACTGAGAGAAGGAAGTCATGAATTCCCAATCTTGAAGTGGTTTGACAAAAATTCTAAAAACTAATTGGTACCCATTAAAGGATTCTTCCGGGAAATGACATAGAAGCCATCAAGTCGAACTTATGGAATAAATAGCTGGTATTGAATTTTCAGCCTCTCTCTCTCTCTCTCTCTCTCTCTCTCTGCGCTTTTTCTCACCTAAAACCCTTGACCACTCTCTCTCTCAGGAAAGGTAACAGCTTTCAATCTAGACAATTGATTAAGAATGAAGGAAGAAGAAGAGAGGAAAAAAGGAAAAAAAAAAGAAAAAGGGATGGCCTAGGAACTTGGGAAGGAAGAAGAAAAAGAAACGGGCTGGGAAGGAAAGGAAGAAGAAAAGGAGAAAAAAGAGAAAAAAAAGAAAAAGAAGAAGAGATAAGATAGTTTTAGCAATCTTTAATTAATATTAAATATTAGAATTTTATTTAGTTTTAATTAAAATTAAATATTAAAATATTTTTTTTTTAGTCCGACACAGATCCAAACATAGGTATTCACTATTTTTACAATCCAGCTTCTTAGTCCGACACATCACCAAACGTAGGTCAGGACTTAATCCAGCTTAGTCCAATCTGAGCTAATCCAAGACAGTCTCAGGATTTAGTCCAGTCCATGACAGTCCGCCGTACCAAACGACCCCTAAAATGAATAAAAACAAAACAAAAACAAAAAAAACAAAACAAAAAATGTCAATTGACACAAGCACTCTAGTATATATAAAGGGAAACTTTGGTGAGATATTTTAAATCCCAAAATACTCTTAGAGCATCTCCAATACTAGTAGCAAACCAAATTCTTCAATTGAAGTTTGTTGACCTACGTGGCAATTTGAAAAGCTTTATTTGCTACTTTAATATTTTGTGCCTCAGTAGACTCTTCAATTCAATTAAAGCAGTATGAAAACATGTGAAAATGTCTATGTAGTTATTGTTTGAAAAGAAAAAAAAAAGTATGTTTTTAACATTTTCAAGGTAGGTTTTATTTTTCCAAAGTAAAATTAAATGTTTTGAAAAGTCAATGTCGACTTACCAATCTTGAAGAGAGAGAAAGAGGTTGCAACTTTGATGACTGAGTTTGACAAGGCTGTTGGAGAGGGTTTTGATGGTGTGGCTCACCTACTTTAGCATTCCAAAGTTGTACGTTGGACGTGCTCGCTAATTAACATGTTAAGAAAGAAAATAATATATTAAATGAGGATAGTATGAGTAAATTTAAAATATTTTAATTTAGTAAAAGAGCATAATAATACTATTTGTACCATATTTACGAACTACATTGCTAACCAACTCTCTAATATAGGAAGGTCTCATATACAATAAAGAAATTTTATATGTTTTTTTTAAAGGCTAATTGACATGTGTGAGTCGTCCCATACTTCGTTTTAGGCTAATTTTAAAGGGTACGGTCAAAAAAAGGCAGAAGAGAGGAGAAGAAAAAGAACCAACCAAAGAGAAAAAGAAAAGAGGGTGGAGTCGCCTTGGCTGGGAAAACCTCCATTCGCTCGAAAGAAGGAAATGAAGGAAATAAGACTACAGAAAAGGCAGAGCCTCTATTTTAAAACTCTCTCGGTTACGAAAAGAGTAGAGTAGAGAACTTGTCATGTGTATTAAAGGAAAATCCTTCTTTTCCACCTTTGAATCCCTCATTTGTCCTAAAAAGACAAGGATCATACATGCTCATTGTAACACCCCGACCCTAATTTATTTATTTATTCAATTATTTAATTTATTTAAATTCTAAAATTACAATTTTGCCCATGGGGATAGGGTCATTTTGGTCACTTTTTAATCCGGAAGGACTTTGGAGAAACGAATAGTACTTTGACGTAGATTGTGTCGGGTTGAGTCCGTAGACACGTGGTGGGCTCAAATCGGAGTTTTAACAAGGAAGTTGTGATTTACAGAAATGAAGTGGCACGATCGTAATTTTGGACAAGTTAAAATTTAAAATACCCCAAGTTAGATTTTCCATGCCTAGACCTTCTTACATCTGATCATTTTATAACTCCCACACTTATTCCCTCCTCTTCCCAAGTCTGACCATTGATAACTCTCACACAACACAAGTTTTCACACATCATTCTCTTCAAAGTTGAAAGGTCAAGCTCTCCTTCTTCACGTCAGTCTTGTTGACTGCTTCGAAACCCATATCTCCTCAGCTCAAAATGAAATATTTCCTTCTACAGACTTGTTTATCGGCTTGTCTACTAGAACATATCAAAAATAGAGCCCAATCGAAGAAGTTTAGTTACCTAAAACGCAGTTTGAGTACAAGCTGTTCATCACAGCCTGATTCTCTGCATAAGGCTCGGGTTTGTCCTTGCATGTATATTTCCACTGTTCTTTTGGTGAAGTAGTCTTCATAAAACTTGTTCCTCTGTTCAAGAGCTACAACGTATCCAAACTTCAAGGAAATCGAAGATTTCTATCTACCTCAAATCGTGTTCAAGGTGAGACTAGTCTTCACTTTCGTTCTGTTTTCTGGTTTCACTCTAGTGTGCCATTATTCACTCTTGCATGCGGCCTTACTCTGATCTAATGGCTTCGTTCCATTCATCAAAGTTGTTCATCTATGTCTTGTCTATAATCTATCAAAATTGGAGCTTAATCCAAGAAGTGTAGGCATCTCAAAGCGTGTTTAAGTGTCGCCTGCTCATTCCTGTCTGCTGTATTGATGTAGGCTCGAATTCTTTCTTGCATGTCAATTTATGTTGATCATTCGACAACAGTTTCTTCATACGAGCTGTTCCTTCCTTAGATAACTATTACATATCTAAAATTCACAGCAATTGGAGTTCTATAACCATCTGAAACCTTGTCCAAGGTCAATAAGTCCTCTGTTATGCTGTTTTAACTCTACAGCACTTTACTCACTCTTGCATGTCGATTTCCCTTGCTCAAATGACCAAGGTTTCTTCTTGAATGTTGTTCAGTTTTCTGTTCTCTACAACATATCCAAAGATGGTGGCTATAAAACAAGTTTAGGCCATTCGGATGTAGTATAACTGAAACAAGCTCTTCTCTTGTTATCAAGTGTTGTTTGGTGGTTTTACTCCTTGGGGGCCCCCGGGCCTTCTTGGTGCATTGCAGAAAGATTCAGAGGATTGAGGTACTCCGATCACGCGTACACAGCAGGCGGGACCCTTTCAGGGTTAAGCAGTGTGGGACTACTTGTGAGTGGACTTTGTTTTGAAAGTGCATTGTTTTTATTGATTGAAGTAATATGCATTAAATATGGATTTTTCTGAATATGGGTTTCTTACATATGTGCAAAGATGGTAGATGTTTACAAGCTAGATAAGTTGGAAGAAAATGTAGTAGTCACTTTGTGTTTGCTTGAGAAGTACTTTCCCCCTTCATTCTTTGATATCATGGTTTATCTAATAGTACATCTTGTCAGAGAAGTTCGTCTATGTGGGCTAGTATATTTTAGATGGATGTATCCGTTTGAAAGATATATGAAAGTGCTAAAGGGGTATGTTCAGAACCGTACTTGTCCCGAAGGTTGCATTGTTGAGTGGTATATAGCTGAAGAAGCTGTAGAGTTTTGTACCGAGCATTTATCTGATGTTAGTACAGTTGGAGTGCCTTAAAGCCAGAAGATGTGAGTTTCAAAGCCATTATCTGGTTGCACAGTGAGCTTAGTTGATCGGGACTTGTTGAACCAGGCACATCTATATGTCTTGGAGAATACGGAGGAAGTCCTACCTTATATTGAGTACGTATGAGTTTTATTTTTCATATGTAGCCATTTTAAATATTATTATTTTTTATGTTTATCTTGTATATAAGGGACCGTAATGCTTGATTTTTTCATGTCAATGTAGAGAACATATGATCCACATCAAGACCGCTTATCCAAAATTTAGAAAGAGAACAAAGTGGCTGCAAGATAAGCACAATAGCACTTTCATTCAATGGCTACGCTTTAAGGTATATATGTTATTGAATGACATATTGAACTTTTAATTTTCTTTCTTTCTATACGTTAGATTGAATTAAGATATATGATTAATTTGCAGGTTTAAAGTGAACTTAATGGGGAAGAGAATAATGGCATATCAAAAAATTTGAGGTGTCTAGCAGCTGGTCCAAGCATGGCAGTGCCATCATATAGAAGCTATCTTATTAATGGTGTTAAATTTAACACCAAGGCACAAGATGATGTGCGAACTATCCAAAATAGTTGAGTTTATTTACTTGCACATACTATGCAGGTTGCTAGTGCCAAGGATAAAAACCCTATTGTCTCCAATATGGGTTTTTATGGTGTTATTCAAGAAATTTGGGACCTTGACTACCAAAAGTTTAGAATCCCAGTCTTGAGGTGTGATGGATAGATAACACTTCAGGCCTTGTAGTCGATGAACTTGGATTTACCCTTGTAGATTTGAGTAAAATTGGACATAGGAATGACCAATTTGTTATGGCTTCTCAAGTCAAACAAGTATTTTATGTTGATGATCCAATGCATCATGGTTGGTCGGTAGTGTTATCAATACCTAATAAAGAATATAATGATGTTATTGGTGATGATGTGCTAGGTGATATTAGAATTGAGTGTGAGCCATTTACTAGAGGGATACCAAATGTTGACACATTTGATGACCTAGTGGGTGAGTTTGGGAGTGAAAATATTAGAGATGGGTGTGAAGATATATGGATTGATTGATTGTTGTAATGTATGACATTAATTAATAGGTCTGTATATCATTTTAATTCGGATCACATTTTCATTATGCAGGCTTTGGGCACGACAAATAAAAAATTTAAAATACTGGATTAAAGGTGTAAAATACGACGGTCCAGTTAAAAAAAATTGGAAAAATAGACGTCTAAAATAAAACCAACGTCGTGGAAAGAAAATGCAAAAGATCGTAAAGAAATAAAAACCGCCATCTGAAAATGAAAACACGTCGGTTTATTAAAATTAAATTACAAGCGGCTAGTAGTAATAAACATCAATGACGCCCTACAAAACAATGCACGTTGTATATTTTGCTATAACACGACGTTGGAGTACTCCAACCGACGAATTTGTTAAACACTACTTCCATGATTAAACCTACCGTCGTCTAAAGGTTGAAATAAAGGCAGCTCAGTTCCATTAAATGTCGTGACATATTTTTTGCATGTCGGTTAGTCAAAAACATATGACGTCTCAGAGAATACACACGTCAAGGAGGGTTACACAAGTGACTTTTAAAAGGCCAACCACGTCAACATGTATTAGAAACCGACGTGGTAAGAAATTACAACGTCATACAATTGGATCCTCGTGACGTAGTGAAGGAATTAACCACGTCCTTTATTTTACAAAAAGCGACGTTGAAGATATAACCCACGTCGTTTCTTTTCATGTCCACGCCTTCAATATAATTTTTAACGTCAGCCTTTAACAAAAGTAGTCGTGGGTAGGATTTGTTACGTTGGTATTCAGTAACATTGTGTCATTTTAAAATATTCAGACGTCCACTTTGTAGAAAAAGCGTCGTCTACTTTGTCTAAAGGGCTTCTTTGTATAATTTAAACGACGATTCCCGCAAGAAACAGACGTGGAATCTTTATGTTTATCTTGTATATAAGGGACTGTAATGCTTGATTTTTTCATGTCAATGTAGGGAACATATGATCCACATCAAGACCGCTTATCCAAAATTTAGAAAGAGAACAAAGTGGCTGCAAGATAAGCACAAGTCTAAAGGGCTTCTTTGTATAATTTACACGACGATTCCCGCAAGAAACAGACGTGGAATATTTTTAAAAAGGCGTTGTTCTCCTACCTTGTGATGTGCATAATCATATAAGCGACGGTTTTTCCACATGTGTATCGTGGTTAATTAATTTTACGTTGGTGCCTGTGTGATTATTGACATGTAATATGCTTTAAACGTCCGTTCTTTTGTGTATGCGTCGTCTTTTACAAGGTAGACGTCGGTTTGTTTATTTGTTTAACATAGTATAAGTTAACCACGACGGTTTCTAGGTTATACAAGTCTGTATTCCTTCAATTAGGGACTTGGATAATTCTTTGTACTTAGGTGCTTGTTTTGATCTTGACATGTAACACTCTTTAGACGTTTGAGTTTTAATAAAACCGTCGTCTAATGTTGTCGAAGGTTTCATTTTACGATATATATATATATAGTAATTAGATGTCGGTTTGTAATAATTTTTTACGTTGAACGGTTTAACGACGTCAGGTATTAGCCATCATTGTTTTATATATCAAAAGATGTCAATTTCATGACGGTTTGAAAACCTTCTAGACGACGGTGGATTCCCGTCGTCTATTTCGATTTTTGTAGTAGTGAGAATATTCTATACAAAATATAATAAGTACTAAATATCATTCAAGCATAATAATCAATCTCAAAACATAAAATACTTATTCAACATCAAAAGAAAAACTCAATTCATGCATCCCACTCCTCATCACGAAACATAAAATGCTATAATTTTCGGTATTAATTTATGTATGGACTTGAGTGTTATTTATAGTTGGTTATTGTGTTGTTGGAAAAAAAATCTTGTACAAAGAGAATTGCATACTGAAGGAGAGAGACGCTTCAACTTATGGAGAGAATTAAAATTGATGGAGATTATCGCATTAGAATATACTGATAGGTCCATTAATGTATTTATTTAGAAGAAAAAAGGAGGAAGTATCGTTTGTTTCAGTGGGGGCCTTTGAAGGCATGCTGTTTGTTTCAAAAATAAAAACCAAAACATGCGCATAGTCACCTCAGTTTTAAAAAAAAAACACTTAACTAGATCAAACGTCGTTTCATTAAAACAAACCCTAACAAAAAAATTTCGAGCCAGGTCGTCTTCTTCCTCGCGCTCTCGCTTGCAAATAGTGGCACTTCTTTGCGCCTTCCATGCCTCGCCTTGCACGCCTTGCCATTCCTCACCATGCTAAGCAGACAACAAGCTAAACAACCGTACGCCTAAGGCGATTTCCCTCCGCCTCGCTCCGACGCACGCTTAGGCATGCCTTTGAAAACACTGGTTTCAAGTTCAACCATTGTGACTCTAGTTTACAGTGACAATTAATATGTACGCATGCGAAGCTTAAGCTGCCTCTATTTTTATAATGCAACAGACCTGTTACTGTACGTACCACTATACCACCATTTTTAAATAATTAAAAAAATTAATCACACGAATCATTGCGTAGTTGCAGAAACTTACCAAAGTGTTAACACGATATATATATATTTACTATGAATAATGTGTGTTGATGCTCTTTTTGGGAGGGTCAACTTAGGTAGGAAAGTGTCAGGTTTTCAGCAAGGAATGAAGGTGTGAACCTTCGGTATATGGAAATCCTACAGAAGACAAGAAAAGGGGGAAGAAGCAATCATCAAGCTTCGGACACCAGTGAGGTGCCTGCCGAAGGCTCTCCGATGCTTAAGTCAGCTATATAGGGAAGTGAATGTGAAAAAATAATTACCCCTTTTACTTGGGCACTATTCCTTATTTATAGGGAAGTGAAAATGGAAGTTTTGCATAAAGTTTCGATGTGGGACTTTGTGCAAACTATTGTGGAGGTGACACATGTCATAGCTCTAGTTTTTGTAGCCGAGAGCTTCGGCAGGTGTTTTACGGCTTTCGAAGGGGGCCTTCCTTTAGTAGGTTAAGAAGGGGATGATATCACTCGTCTTCTAAGGGCTTGCTTGTGTGCTTGTTTAGCGTATTTCCCTTCCTGAGTGTCGGTCGCTTGATGCCGAATACGCTTGGTTGATTATGGTATAAACAACGTGGACAAGGAATACACCTTTTTTGATTCAAGCGATATTAGAGGAGGGGGAAAATCGAACTTAGGACTTCAAATGCACGAATAAATACTCTTAATCACTTAAACTACCATGAAATAAAAGCAAAGAAAGTTGAAGCATGCATAGAAGTTTGATTCTTTTAATGTTTTAGAAATGTGAACAACTTACCCAAAGCAATAAACTGAACTAGTTTATCAAGAGTATTGTCATCAAATTAGCTTGTCGTGTTTTGTTTATTCAAATATACTCAACTTCATTCATCATGTAAGTGAGATAATGACATATCTACTAACACATTCTTTAATGAACAAATTTTATGATTGTAAGATTATTATTTATCAAACAATATACACCACGCTAACAGGGCCTAGTTGAGTGGAAGGCATTGACTCGACTAGCAGACCAGTAGTGTCAAGTTCGAATCTCCATAACAATAACTAATATCATTAAATTGCTATTTCGTTTACTTTGATCAAATACTGAATTTTAAGATGTTACCGTTTTAGAAATTAGAAAATTATGTGATTTCGTTTTGTAAAATGACTTAGCAAGCTCTTAAATTTGGCTAACTAACTAAAAAAAAAATTTGGCTTAAGCTCAAATCGAACCAAACAGGCCAATAATGACTTTAGCTTGGATCGGCTTCACTCTAACCAAATGAATCCCCTTCTATAGTAATTATTGATTGTGATTTGGATGTGAAATTGATGTAAATGAGAGCTTGTTTAGCTTTGGAGTCCTATTTTCTGGGTGCTCTCCGTGTTTCAATGAAAAAACAGTGCAATACTTTTATAGAGCCAATTAATTTGGGCGTACATCATCTTTCACGATTCTATAGAATTTTTTTCGTAAACAACTAAAGCAACTTTATTTTAAACCAAAAATAATAAATTTATTTTATGAACTGTAAATGCCTGAAACCATTTTGTTTTTTATTCCTTTTGATTAGACGGAGGAGACATAAATACTCGAAGGCCCCTCCTTAATTAATAAAGCTTACTTTATGAACAAGAAGATGCAAATATTTCGAGAATAAATATTTATTTCGTTAAAGCTTACTTTTTTTTTTCTTTCCCAAAGTTAAAGCTTACTTTATTATAGCCACTTTGTCCTAATATTATTCCCCATGAAAAACTGTTTCGCCCATTGATAAATAAGAACAAGAAAAGTGGCCCTAGATTAAAAGTTGTAAACCAAAAAGAATATATCACGCAATATTAGTGGTTTTTATTCTTTTTTTTTTTGACAAAGCAATATTCTAAACTACTCTAATGTAAAGGAGAGGGGAATCGAAATCAGGTGCAATGAGGCGGGCATGAACTTTTCTTTGGGTATTTTTTTCATTTTCTCATCCTCCCCCACTGTATCCCTCTACTTCTCTCTAGAACCAATTTTTCCTTAAGAAAGACAGTGATCAATTACATTACTACTAACAACTGAATTCTTAAAGAAAAGAAAGAAAAAAACAAGAAATAACCATCTTATTGAACCATAGAACAAACCTGAAACAATATTCTTATCGAATGTAATTAAAAAAGAAAACTACATAAAGAAGAAGACGACGAAGATATGATGAAACCATAGGTCTAACACAATGCTTTAAAAAGAAAACAATTGAAAGCATAGGTCTAACACAAACCAAACTGACTGTAACTTCTCTCACACAATCCAAATAGGATGCATGTTTAATGCGAGGTCTGACTCTCTTCCGATATTTCGATACAGGTTTTTGCAGAAGAATTTTGTGTTTCATCTATCCCCTTGATTAATTTAGTTGAAGTTGATGCCCTTGAGGTCACGTCTGTGGAAGTAGAAGAATCAGCTTTGGTACATTCGTCACGAGCCATGGCTACATTAAGCTGATGATCTTCCACAGTAGGCGGATTAATCTGTCTTTGGTACATTCGCCACGAGCCATGGCTACATTAAGCTGATGATCACCCATAGTAGGCGGATTAATCTGCTCAAAGGTTTTCTCACCAACAAGAATACTCACAACGTCTGCCATTCTTGGCCTTAGAGTAGGAGATATATTCGTGCACATCACGGCCAAGGTTAAGATGGTGATGGCTTGTTTTGCATCATAAATGCCAGACAAATTTTTATCCACCAAGTCCA